CGAGTAGGGATGAGTCAGAGCTCTCCTGGGCCTCCTCTTTATGGCATAGCCCCCTCTGGAGCTTTCACAAACACACCATTCTAAACAGCGGTCATTAACACATAGCACTAATTCACTAGCGGTCTCCATGCAGAACAAGTGGGTCAAGGTCCAGTCCTGCATGGAGCCTGGACCAGTGCAGCTCAAACTAATGAGCCACTCTGTCTGAGTCACTCTCCTCTGCGTAAATAACGTCACAGAGCTTTAGCTGCCATGTGCTGCTGTCATGGAGATGTGTCAAAATCACCAGTGGGAAGTAATCAATTTCTTTTAGCCAAGTAGTTTTCTGAGTAAATAAATAGTTTGCTAAAGAGGATTGAATGATTAATCGAAATTAAAAAAAAAATAAAATAAAATGTATATATATTACTTGTATTGTATTTTTTTTTTTACTTGGACATATACATTTATATAATTATACCTTATTTGACACCTGTCTCTTTTTACTTCTGTTTTCAATTGATCATTACCATTTTTATTTTTGCTTTTTTTTTATTATAATACATTGTGATGTGTGAGCTACTGTGTCCAAATAATTTCCCTAGTCAATCAATTAAGTTTTGTCTAATTTGAATGGTTGAAATGAGAATTGGCATGATACTAAAATTTCAACTTTAGGGGTGTGCAAAAATATTGAAATATTGACATATTGTATAATTTAATGTGATGATACAGTATTGATATCATGGGCTGCTGTATCGATATATCACCAAGAGTATTTTTGGTATATTTTACTAAATTATTTTGTTACAGCGCTACAATTTGTAGTTTGTTCAGAGGAAGGAAACTATGCTACTATAATTATGCGACACATTTTCATTGTTTTGATGATTAAAATATTTTTCATATGAACTTGGCACAAGAAGTGGTTTAACAAAGACTTTTAGTATCACAGGGTATCCCCAGGTTTGACCACTCTAAATTTAAGACATCTAAGAGCCACTGTGGATTAAACCTACACTTCTCCGTGATCCATCCAACGTCTTCCTCCACTCTACTGATTGCCTACTCATTGCCGCCGGCGCCAGAAACTAAAGTATTATTAGTGAATACTCCAGATTAGATGTTCATTCACGTTACTTGATTTCACGTTGTTGTTTTTTTTCCTCCCTCCATTTAACGTTTCACTGCAGCCCGGCTGAGTCTACAAAAAACAGGTTAATGAAATTTGAGACTTGGACAACATAATTCAAGACTTTTTAAGGCCTTCATTTAGGAACATGAAATTTAAGACCTTTTTAAGACTTTGAAGACCCCGCAGCTACCCTGTATCACAGCCATGATTTAGCCTTTATTTTTTTATTGAACCGTATCAAATCGATTTGAAATATGTCGTATCAAACCGAAAGTGCACTGTAATGCTATATGTATCGTATTGTGGCCTGTGTATCGAGGTATGTATCAGCAACTTCTTAATGATACTCAGCTTTGATTTTGAATTTGATACTAGAGGATATGGGCACAGTGTAGGGCTTCAAGATTATTCACAGTCAAATCGAAATTGAAATTTGAATGGACACAATTAGAAAAAGACTCACATGCAAGTCAAGTGCAATTATTTCCTTCAAAAATGATAAAATCTCCTCTTATTCTGGAAAAAAAACTGCTGACCCTGTAGTTTAAATTTGTATAAACATGTTTTGAAATGTGACTTCGTGTTGGTAAGTTCATATTTCAGTCCTCTGTACACGTTTAAAATGTAAAATTTAATCAGAGTACTGTTACTTAAGCATTTAATTCTGCTATTTATTTATTCCAGTTCTTCAGTTCTTGTTTTTTAATCATATTATTAGGAATAGTTTTGAGGTTATATTTCAAGGTTTTCAATTCAGTGGCATAAATTACAGTAGTTTTAATACTGTCTATATTTTCTTCAGCAATATCTTCAGAGTTTGTTAAAATGACAGGTCTACTCAAACCATCCGTTTTATTTTTCAAAGTAATATTTAGAGTATATAAATTTGTGGTTCACTCAAGGCTAGGGCTGACTGATTAACTGAATAATTGCCATTTATTACTGCATTATTGTCCCACTCTATACCTGATCTTGAGCTGTTTCGACTTACGCAGCTGCCCTGGGGCAAACTGATGGAAGTGAGGCTGCCAAACTGAGCAATGAGCCACTTCAAACCTCAGCACTCACTCACAAACGGGTGAGGTGGTGGTGGTGGTGGTGCAGTGTTTTGCTCAAGGATGACTCAAACTTTTTATGCTTCTATTGATGTCATTTTAATTTTAATAATTTTAAAAACTCACATTCAACTTTTGAGCTCTGACCACCTGTGGTCACTGCTGCCTGCGTCTGTAAACTTTTCGAGTCAACGTGAAAAAAAATAAAAGGTAAATTGCTGCTTTGGCCCTTTTTAACCCATCATAACATCATAAACAGCGCGGATAGACAGCAGCGGGTGAATTGTTTGATTGCAATCAGAGAGCCTCCATCTTCCAACAGAGATTCTTCAATGATTGCAATCACAGTGCCCCTATTGTTCTCCATGTAATGTTGCAGTTTCCATGGCGCAAATGTGAGCAGTTGGAGCATCCCAGAGGAGGTCAGCGGAGGTGGGGTCAGAAACCACAAATACAGCTGCTGGGGGTGTACTTAAGAAGTGGCAGGGTGGAGCAGTTGGGACGATTAGGATTAAGGCAGGTGCAGAGGAAGTCAGTTATGATGATGAATTGAATTTATAAAGGATATACAAAAACAGAATTGTACACGAAAAACACTCAGACACATTTTCAGCTACTAAAGATAGTTTAGTGCAACAGGTGGGGCCTATAAATGCAACAATGGGTCTTTAGTAGAGGCAATGCCCCTTTGCTGCTGCACTGATATTACTAGTAGGGATGTAACAATAATCGAAATACCGTGATATCGTATCGTCAAAGGTCTCACAATAATATCGTAGACCATCACAATATATCAAATTACAAGTCTTTTTGCTTAAATTAAGACTTATAGTGCAGCAATAGCTAAAAAAAAAAAAAGACAGAGAGAACTACAGAGACCATGTTCCTTTGCTCCATTACACTATAGACTACATGAAGAAATAACAGTTTAAGCACTTTTAAATTCTTTAGATTAAGTCTTATCAAGGCATTTTAAGAGGAAAAAGTCGCATATTAACAGTTTTGTGAGCAATAAATATCAGACCGTGAGATGTAGCTCATGAAAATATCGTACTGAGAGATTTGGATCTTGTTACATCCCTAATCCTGAGCCTCCCCACCATATTTTGAGCTTTCCAACGATATCGCAATAAATATCGTACCATGAGGTTCATATCGTGATGATATCGTAACATGACACTTGGATATCGTTACACCCCTAATTACTAGTACTGTATTCTAATGTTCACATAGTGGGTGTAATGTATACATGGTGGGTGCCTCTATACTATTATGCACTTTTAAAATACTATGCACTCTATATGTTGCTCAAACGTAATTTCGTTGTTATTTTATATGACAATGACAACAAAAGAATTGAATTGAACTGAGATACTGTGTAAGTTATGGTAGTCCCTGTAAGGTTTATTCACAAATGAACTAATTTGAACAAATAAACATTACTTTCCAATGACTTTTAGAATAACTCACTATTTCACATACTAGTAAGGATATAGGAAATAATAGGGATGGGACAAGACTATAATCAGTATATATAAATCTTCTTTATACAGTCTATGGACAGCAAAAATGTATATGATACATTAATTGCAGGGTTATGTTCACAATTTTGCTCTCATGTTGTTGTGGGTTTTTTTGTTTTTGTTTTTTTTCAATTTTATTTTATGTTTTTGCTGTCATTGTAGAATAGGGGTGTGCAAAAATATCAAAATATCAATATATCGTATTGTTTAATGAGATAATACAGTATCGATATCGTAGGGCTGCTGTGTCGATATATCACCAAGAGTATTTTTTGGTATATTTTACCAAATTATTTTGTTACAGCGCATTACAGTGATATTTTCACTGTTCTGATGACTAAAATGTTTGTGTTTCATATTCACTTTGCACAAGAAGTGGTTTAACAAAGACTTTTAGCATCACAGCCACGATTTAGCCTTTACTTTTTATTGAACAGTATTGAATCAATTTGAAATATATCGTATCAAATCGGAAGTCTTTTGTATGTATTCTTTAGACCAGGAGTCCCGTTACAAAATAAAAATGCGAAAGAGCTATTCATTTTAGCAGCCGTAAGAAACTGAGGCGATTATAAGAAAAAGGGCAAGCCTTGGGATACAGTTAGAAGCTTATAAAACCATTGTCCTTTTATCAGTGCACAATGTTGGGCATCAAAATGATAAATTTGCAATGTTAATAGGCATATAATTAACCACATTTTGGTTATTCAGCACAATGGTATAATTCCGAGCTACTTGGAAAAGGGTGGAGAGCTACAGGTTGGAGAACCCTGCTTTAGACAATTAATGGACAGCAAGAAGACAGGATTTTTTGACATGATACATTATCAATAAATTGCATGGTAATGTTCACAGTTTTACTCTCATGTTGTTGTTTTTTTAATCAATTTTATTTTATGTTTTAGCTGTCATTGCAGCACTGCTTTTTTTTTTTACCATTTTTCTCATGAAATATCATTCACTAAACAGTTTTTTTTTTTTTTTTTTAACACGTGGTTAAACGAATCTCACAAACATTTTCTACAAGTGTGCACAAGAACTATACTAGAAAAGCCTTTGTTATTGTCATTGTCTCTGTATTCTGGATGCAGTTGCCATAGTTTTCTGCAGCCTGGTCTATGAGCCTAGCAGCATTTGACAAGTCATTTTGTTTCCGTAGATGGTAAATGTTACCACGGCACAGTTTAATAATAACGTGGTTTTGTGTTGAGATGAGGTTCATAATCGTCTCTAAAATAAGATGTAATGATGTTAATTTGAGCGGGATAAACACGGTGCTGCTTGTAGAGTCGCTCTCATGTGTCTCACCCGGCGGCTGAAGTCTGCTCCCTGCCCGCCTCCTCCTCCTCTTCCCCGGCCGCGGTAATGGTCTCTCTTGCCCCGGCTGCGGTGGTACCCGGATCGGCCGCGGCCCCGGTACTCTCCGCCGTGACTGTCACCGTCATGCCCGCCGCGGCCGCCTCTTTTCCCGCCGCCTCCTCTGCCTCGGCTCGGTCTGACTTCCATCACTGTTGTTGTCAACTTTACCCGGACACTTTAGCGCACTGCACCAAAACACCGGTGTCTATGTCCGTCTGTCAAATCGGCCCCATGGTACAATGCGGTGTAATGGTTCCGGATTGAAACTTCTTTGTACGTTTATTTTAATTAAAGTTACAAAACCAAAATCAATAATCAACTAATACACCAAACATTTTATCTCTATAGTATGGGGTCAAGCAACAAAACCCAAATAGTTGCACTTATAAATAGTAAATGAATAACGTGTTTGATTGTTATATATGAAAAATGTATTTATTTTTATTTTTATTTTTTAATTTTTTTTTCTTGTTTTGGACTTAAACTGAGACGACATCTATAGGCCTGTAGACTTCCACTGAGATGAAGAGCAGCCTAAATTACCATTATGATCTGCAAAATGTGGTGTGATTGGTTCATACATCAGGATTTATGGATAAGTGATTAAACACACACACAGTTTTTTTTTTTTTTTTTTTTTGTGTATGTGTGTTTTTTTTTCAGATTTCAGGTGACATACTCTCAGGTGGGGGTCAAGAGCTGGTTTTTCCTATTGATTATACTGTACTTCACAATGAGATATCTAAAAAAATAAAAAATAAAAAAAATCACAACAACATTTTAGCTGCCTCCCTCTGTTTTATATATATATCTACATAATGCTGTGTGATGTTATTTGAAACCCAGCTAAACATTCTAACTGAAACAGGAATATTGGTTTCTGTGACCATGTATGTAACACCATTATATCTAATAATCTCTACACCCAGTGGCGTTGGACTGGGGAAATAAAGGATACAGCTTCCCCATGGCCGAGGGCAAGGAGAGGCCCTTCACAAAGACTGCAATGTGCATTTTTCATTAGACAACACATGACGGTTTAGTCTTGTGGTAGTGCTGGTTTAGACCTGGTATAGAGCCTGTTTACAGGAGAATGCTTGCAGGTAAAAAAGACAAAATATTTTATCAGAAGTGCCTTTCGTTTAGACGGTGACGGCATTTTTGGGGCTTAAAAACACAAAATCTAAAACCACCCTCCAGAGTGGAAAAGTTGAATACGCTCCGTCGCAGCGTTTCCGTCTACACTGCCCAAGACGCAAAACTCCGGTCAGACCTGCTCACGTCTTGTACAATTTTACATCACATACATCACCACCTAGTGTCATCACCGAGCCGCCTGGCATGCATACCCAATCGAATTCCACACACTTTTGCATCACCGTATGCACACAGATTTCCTCCCAAAAATGCTTGTCTAAACGCGGAATAAAAAGTGAAGACGCGACACCACTTTTGCATCTTCTGTTCAGACCATCATCATATCACATAGCCATAGTCTTGGTTTAGACCTGGTTAAATCTTGTGGTAGTCCTGCTTTCGTCTTGTGATAGCCCTAGTTTAAACCTGGTTAAGTCTTGTGTCAGTCCTGATTTAGTAAAGAAGCCCCACCAACATGATTTGTACCCAGGGTCCAGATTTCGTTCTACACTCCTGTCTATGCCAATACTAAATTCTCTCCTGTTTTTCTTTACAGGTGCCGTTCTTTTCCCACATGGATCCCCAGAGGAGCATCTTCCGTGACTTGTCCAACTACACCAGTGACTTTGAACCCAGCAGTGTGGATACTGACTTGTCCAACAGCTCTTTTGGCAACTCATCCCACGTCCACATTCCTCCCCACAGCCTTTGGGAGGCCATCGCAATCGCCACTGTTTCTGCCATCGTCAGCTTAATAACTGTCGTAGGCAACGTCCTGGTCTTGGTGTCTTTTAAAGTCAACAGTCAGCTTAAGACGGTCAATAATTACTATTTGCTCAGCTTAGCCTGCGCCGACCTCATCATAGGAGTGTTGTCTATGAACTTGTACACTACATACATCTTAATGGGATACTGGTCGTTGGGGAACCTAGCGTGCGATCTCTGGTTGGCGGTGGATTATGTTGCCAGTAACGCTTCGGTTATGAACTTATTAGTCATCAGTTTTGACAGGTACTTTTCCATTACGAGGCCGTTGACATACAGGGCAAAGCGGACTCCGAAAAGAGCAGCCATTATGATAGGAATGGCATGGATCGTGTCATTCGTTCTCTGGGCTCCTCCGATCCTTTGCTGGCAGTATTTCGTCGGCGAGCGCACCGTGCAGTTCGACCAGTGCCAAATCCAGTTTTTGACAGAACCGGTGATCACTTTCGGCACCGCCATCGCCGCTTTCTACATCCCAGTTTCGGTTATGACCATCCTGTATTGCCGTATATACAAGGAAACTCAAAAAAGGACTAAAGACTTGGCGGAGTTGCAGGGACTAACCAGTGGATGCGTCCAGGAAGGCACCAAACCTCAAAAGACACTGATTCACTCCTGTTTCCATTTTACACGAGAGAAAGCAGATCGAAGTCAAGCATCCTGGTCTTCTTCCAACCAAAGCAACGCCACCAAAACCACCACGCGTTCCGAAGAGGCGTGGACCAAATCCGAGCAGGTGACCACGTCCTTCAACAGCTACACGTCTTCCTCGGAGGACGAGCATCACGTTTCCATGGACACGCCCCAAGGCTCCTTCAAAGATCAAAACCGGGGCAGCAAGAACGGACAGGTGGCAGACTACGGGGGCGACGAGCAGTACTTCTCCTCGCCTTCCAAGCAAAACTGCAAAAAGGGCATCGCGTACAAGTTCAAACTGGGTTCTAGAGGCAAAGATCCTAGTCCCGAACCATCTCCAAGCAAAACCGAGACGGCGCAGGCGATCAAAGACAACTCATCGCCTTCTTCCTCCTCCACTTCCAAACCGATAGACCCCAACATGAAGAATCAAATCACCAAGAGGAAGCGAATGGTGCTCGTGAAGGAGAAAAAAGCGGCCCAGACCTTGAGCGCGATCTTGCTGGCTTTCATATTGACATGGACGCCCTATAACATCATGGTACTCATCTCCACCTTCTGCGCAGAGTGTATCCCCACCTGGTTGTGGCACTTGGGCTACTGGCTGTGTTACGTGAATAGCACCATCAACCCCATGTGTTACGCCCTGTGCAACAAGACCTTCCAGAAGACCTTCAAGATGCTGCTGCTGTGCCAGTGGAGGAGGAGGAGGTGCGAGGAGAAGCTCTACTGGGGAGGGCAGAACGCACACGCCAACAACAAAGTCACTTGAAGAGCTGGTCGAATGATGAGGTTTTATTGGCGTACTTTGTAAGCACTGGGTTCGCAGTGTAATTTAATTGGACATAAGGCTGTGTCAGGGAAGAATGAGAGTGATGGAATATATTTATAGAGTGGACTTTATAAACAGATTACAGTAAATGATCTCCAAGCGGCGGACATGTTGTAAATGTAGGCTCTACTCAAGCACAGGCTATTTAAAGAAATGGAGATTGCCATTTTTCTTTCAATGTTAACTCTAATGCTAATGTTGAGAATCCTTCTTTGTTGAGGGTAGCATAGACTTATAAACTTATTTCCGTGCTTTAAAAAGTCGGTGGTTCTAGTTGCTAATGTAAACAAATGTAAACACCAAAGGAAATATGCATTAACTGCGTTTTTAGGAAATTAATAACCATTTCTTTCCCTTAAAGTCCATGAAAAGCCATATGAAAACAGTTTGATGGAACCAATTAAGCCCATCAAAACATTTTAAGTAATTTGTTGAACTATATCTAGATGATAAATGATAATATTAAAACCAAGCCATGACACACTAATTACCCCCTGAAACTATCCTAAATGTATGATATTGTAAAAAAAAAACAAGCTGCAATAAATAAATGACAGATTACAACACTTTAATAGTTAGTTAGTAGGGATGTAACGATATCCAAATCTCACAGTACGATATTTATTGCGATATTTTGAAGAGGCTGATATAATTGTAGATAGGACCCTTTTCTGCTTTTAAAATACCTTGACAAGATTTTGGTGTGAATTAATCCCGTCATAATCTCAAGAATTCAAGTAAAAAAACATCTCTTCATGTTGTTTGCGCTGAAATGAATCATGGGATATGTAGTTCCCGATGTTGATAAGCTGTTGCTACCGTAAAACCATGCATTAAAGCAAAGGAACTATTATTGTGAGACTTTTGAGGATACGATATAACAATATTTTGGTTATTGTTACATCTCTATTAGTTAGTATCTATAATGAGTCAGAAAATGTATCTATTCAACCTTCTACACCTCAAATCTTATCATAGTATGAAACAACAACCATAATTTTTCCACTACTACAAAGAAAACTTACCAATGATGAATACTAACCGCTTAAAATTACTGTTCTATCTATCACGTATTGAAAAATAAATCGTAGTAATTATCATGACAAATTTGGCACCAATATCCATGTGTAATCTGCACTGACTGCCCTGTGTGATGTTAATTGCCAAAAATATATGAGGCTATACCAGGAGTGGGCAAACTTTTTGACTCGTTGGCCATAGAGGGTTCTTAAATTTGATGGAAGGGCCGAACTAGAAGCAGATAGATGGAGTTTTTTGGTAATCCACGTCATAAAAGAACAAAATAAAATTGGATATGTAGAAACCATATCCCATTTTGTTGAAATAATTGAAAATCATTACAAAGCATTTCAACAAAATATCTGTCTTTAAAGTCCCACGGTGTTTACTATTTATTGAAATGACTTTTAAAACACTGAAAATTATTATTATTATTATTATTAGTGTTCTTCAAGTTCGGTGGGTCGGATTAAAAAGATTAAAGGGCCGCATATGACTCCCGGGCCACAGTTTGCCCGCCCCTGTGCTATACTGTAAAAAAGGCGGTCTCATTTGGCATAGCAGCACTTCCAATGACCACTCTACAATTCTCTCTCCATATAGAAATATTACTTCCATTCTCTTCAACAAAAGGTGTTTTTTGTAACCAAAGACAAGCTCAAAACATTTTTACAAATTATGAGAACAGCCACATCATCAGCCTCTAACAGGGAAGCATAAAACTACAGTGTTAGATTTATAAAGGATGTTTTTATATTTCACAAAACTGACGATGCTCCTCTTTAACTGTGCACTGATAAAAAGTTTTTAAAGTTGGACCAAACACTTAAACTTCTCCTACAACCACATTTCAAACCGAGCTGCTAAACTGGACAGGACCTGGAGGACTTAAGAAGAGAAAGAGAGAGAAACCTGGCGTAAATCAGGGCAGGTGTGGTGTGCAGGGATGGCAGTGCACACTCAGTTTTAGACGTTGCTGAAACTGAAAGCTGCAAATGTACATAGTTTGCACAAAAATTTCCAAAAAAGGACTAAGAGTATGTGATAATAAACTGTGTACATGGTGTTTTAATAGTAACAAAAAGCTGACGGAGTGTTTAGTTCCACTTTAAATAGTTAATTTACAGCTGATTTGTTTGTCAGTTTGAAAAGGGCAAAAAAGATGAGCCAGTTTCACGGTTTAATTTTAAGCAGCAATTTTTTAATACAGTAAAAAAAAAAAAGGTTTGATTAGAGAAAAGAAGTGAACAGTTTGATCGAAACCCTTTTGTTTTTTGAACAGCATTTACATTGCCGTACATTCCTAGCCTGGTGAGCCTAACTGGAGCCAGGCTGAAGTTCAAACTATTATGTGTTTCTGCTTAAATAATCTGTACATAAAAGGGAAGAGTGTAGGTCTTTATATTTCCTTCCTGGATTTGACACTTTGACAAATCTTTAATATAAATTTAAATGTTACGAAATGTTTTTTTTTTTGTTTCTGAATTTTGCTGATGTTTCAGTTTTGTTTTCAAGGGCTTTCAATGGTTTCTGTGCATATAAGCTTCTTATGTTTCACATGACATAACTTTGAGATTACTCAGTATATCCAATGTGCATAAGATAAAAAAAAAAGATTTGTAAATTACACATATCTTCCTCTGGGGGGCGTTGTGCTATTGTAAATGAAGCGCTGTCTCTTAGACGTGTGGTGTTATGTTGATGCTTAAACTCTGTGCCTTTGGTGAGCTCAGAGTGAATGAAAATGTGCAGTTTGTCCTTTAGTGAAAGTTATTTGTACAATTTGTTACTTGTATGAAATTTGTCAGATACAAGCCAAAAATACACTGTAAGTTTATTTTTAAAACCATAAACATGTCTGTTCCTGCTTTGTGTGTCGTGTTCAGAACAGGATAAACTAGAAATGAACTTATTTGCATGTGGATTTCTAAAGTATTTCAGCGTTTTAAAACAAAGAACCACTCAAATTTAAAAACATACAGTATGCAATTGTCATATGGCCTAAAAATGTGATAATTTTGGTCAAGCTACTACTATGTTCCTATTAATTTTGATATTACAAGTTATCCCCAGGTTTGACTACCCCAAATTTAAGACTTTTTAAGACCATTTTAAGACCACTTAAATGAAAATTAAGACCAACATCACACCCATTATGTGGGCAAAAACTCCAGACCCAGTTCTAATATTGACCAAACTATAGGTACTATATCTACAATCTAACTGTGGATTAAATCTGGGACTTCCCCATGATCCAACCAACGTCTTCCTCCACTGTACTGATTGTTTACTCATTATTTACTCCCTACTAAAAAAATTTGCTAATGAAATTTTAGACCTTTGTGAAAAAAATAAGACTGGACAACATCATTTAAGACTTTTTTAAGGCCTTAATTTAGGAACATGAAATTTAAGACCTTTTTAAGACCCCGCGGCTACCCTTGTTTACATGTATTGCACAAACATTGCACAAAAATTTAGATTATTCTTTCCTAACATTACATTAAATGTGTTATAAATAATAATATAAATACGTTTTGATTTAAAATTCCATAAACATGACCTAACTTGTCCCCAGATACAAAGTACGCAAATCAAATGTACTGCAGCTTCAGCTGATAAGAATAAATCAGCATTAGAATCGTTAATTACAAGAACACTGGGTATGATGGACAAGTTGTTTATGTTATAATTTATTTAATCAGGAAGAGGAATGAGCATCACATGACTCATTTGGGTTGCCAGGTCTAATGCTAAAATCCACCTCGAGTCTATATCCTCACTAACTAAACCCCAGAACTTGAAGCAAATTATAAATCAAACTTTTCTTTACTTTAAATGCAGGTTTAGGAGCTGGCAACTTAGGTTCAGTTGTGATTGCAGTTCTCTTTAACTAATATTTGAATTACTGTATTTTCTGTGCTGTCATCGAATGGTCTATTTTCAAACTTTTTTCACATATAAACCGCACCGGACTATAAGGTGCATTCAGTCAGTTAGTCACTCACTCTTTATTTAACACGTTCACAATAACTCTCAACTTTGTTCAATTGTAACACGTAAAAAAAATACTGTCTGAGACGATAAATTGTTAGTGTATTCACAATAACTCACAATTGTTCAGTTATAACTTAAAATAACACATTACACTCACTTTTTCAGTTCATTCCTCGTCCACAAATCCCTCAAATTCTTCATCTTCAGTGTCAGAGTTAAACAGTTGGGCGATTATGGCGTCCAGCACGTCCGCATCCCTCTCGTCATTATCCGAGTCAGTGTGGTTACTGTTACCTGGCAGTTCAGTGATGATTCCGGTCTTGGTTAAAACCTCAGACCACAGTTGATACTGATCCTTAGCCCAGGCGTCCACGATCCGCTGGCAGATCGTGGCGTAAGTCGCTCGGCGCCGTCTCCCTGTCTTGGTGAATGTGTGTTCACCTTCTCTCATTCACTGCTCCCACGCAGCTCGCACTTTAACTTTATAACCACCTTGAGTTTAAAGTCGGCGTTGTTGTCTTGACAGGTGCATTTTGATATTAAAAGGAATCACAGTATGTATTACTCCACGGTGCTCCTGACTACGGGAGCCATAATGCTGCAAGTGGTGCGTCTTTGTAGTTTACTAAAGTCGTACTAAAACACCCAATAAATTCATATATAAGGCGCTCTGGATTATAAAGCGCGCAGTTGTTTTCTGATGAAATTAAATGCTTTTAAGTGCGCCCTATAGTGTTGAAAATACGGTATATATTTTTAAAAAAAGAAAGGCATAATATTCTAACTGCACTTGGTAAATGTTATTATAACCCCCGTCCACTTAAATCCTACTTCTGGATCTCTACAACTACAAACATTTACTTCAAATACGTGGTTATGAATTTTAGAAAATGAAACACATTTTATATACCATCACAATTTATTAATCTGGTTTTTAAATAAGATCTCATAAGTCTTAAAATTTCAATGCATCTTCATTCACAGTCGCTTTACAGTTTTTCAAAGACAAAAAAACCCTTTGTATATGTATATATGCTCTGTATTGGGAAGTAGCAGCAGAAAAAATTAAGTTAGAAGATGGAGGAAATGTAAATTAAGATTAGCATTTGTTAAGAATATCAGTGCAGAACAAAAAAAATCCAATTGTACCTCATAGGTCAAGAGTGCTCAATATCTTAATAAAGAAACTGTACAGTAGACCCCAAATGGGATTTTAATGACACTTAAAAATCTTGCTTCCATGGCATGTCCAGTAGGGGGCACTACTACCTCCGTTTGACAGCTGGCCGCGTGCCCTTGCTGCTTCCTCCTGCTTTACTCGAGCCCTTGGAGCCGGAGAAGAGTTTGGTCATGAGCTCGGAGACGTCTGGCAGTTCAGGGTTGGGGTTCAGCATGTTCATTGACTGTTCCATTTCCTGCACAGCATCAAAAACAGGTTTAATATAATATCGGTTTAATAAACTTTTATGACACTGGAAATAAGAGCTGTAGTCGACTAAAGATCTAAAGACTTTTTGGTGGATTAAAGGCATGTCCTGTCGACTAAAAAGGGGGCATGGCAAAGGCTCTTAAAACTATTTGGTATCTGTGTATCTGACCCAAATTACACTCATAAGACTTCATGCAAAAAAGTAATATTTATGCTGGAAAAAAGTACTAGGAAACAATATATCTATGTAAATAATTAAACTTTTGTCATGTTCACGAATTGAATTTCTCCTTTGCCGTATCTATACAAAGACAGACTGAATTTGTGAATAATGAATTTAATCTGCCTTTTTAGATATAAATACCAAAGAATATAAAATCTTCAGCTAACTCACCAACAGTGATGGGAAGAATACTTTGAAAATGTATTTTGTTACACAATACTCAATACATTAAATTGTATTTTGTAACGCATTCAGCCAGGGTACTATATTCTGAATACTTTGAATATCTATATTTTTACATATATTTAAATTCAGTGCAGTAACACAAAATTAGTGTTCAGAATGCGTACACTCGATACATGTATTTAGTTACTTCCCAAAACTGTTGTTGCCCCACATAAATCCTTACAATCTAAATAAAATGATTAATAGACTAATCTTCAGATAAAACACCAGCGACCAATTATCCGCCCAGATGACTAAAGTACTACAGGGATATTGGTAAGTATTTGGTTCTTTTTACAGGGTATCCCTAGGTTTGACTACCCCAAATTTAAGATGTTTTTAAGACCTTTTCAAGAACACTTAAATGAAAATTAGATCAACATCGCATCCATTATGAGCGAAAAACCAATTCTAATAATAACCAACCAACTATGGAACAGTATCTAGAATTTAAGAGTCACTGTGGTTAGGCTAATGAAATTTAAGACCCTTGTGAAAAAATAAGACTTGGACAACATAATTTAAGACATTTTAAGGCCTTAATTTAGGAACATGAAATTTTGCAGCTACCCTGTTTTAGTAATATTAGCCAAAAAGAAAAAGTTATGAGGATAATATGAACTGAATAGACCCAAGGCAAAATTTTAGTTAAAAGGCCAGTATTAAAATGTCTATAGTAAGTGTAGTAAGTGTAGTAGTGACTCAGAGTAGTTATTTATTACTAAGTTGTACAATTTTGGAAATACTGTAAATCTAATTGATCTTAGAAGTATTGCAATATCAGGTTTTGCTCAGAGTGCAAATTTCAAACACGTTCAGCAGCTTTAACATTTGAGAAAAGACATAAATCTTGACTCAAACTACTACAAGAATCCTATGCATTTCAGAACATGTTTGCAGAGGTCTAGACAACAAAAGAGTACGCAGATTTTTCAATACAAACACAGGATATTTTGTTGTTTACAGTGGAAATTCTGTGACCTAAATAGTGGCAGTGTGTGCGGTTTGTGCACCTACTCAAAATATGATGCATTGTGTGCCGCCGCGAAGTTGTAAAGGATGTGATAATGACCAAACAAACGACTGCTACATGAAGTGGTAATAAAATCATCACAAACGCAAAACTGTTAGTGCATCAACAATGTGCTGACTAACGCTCTGTGACCGAATCTATCATAAACAAATATGATGTACTTGGCCTTCACCAGTAAACAGAAAATATGAAGCACTGTGGCCTGTATTTATTGTGCGATATAACTTTTTAAATTCACTTGATAGGGCTAAATAAAACTAAATATATAAAAAGTCCTCACCTTTCTCATTTCTGGATCATTGGTGTTGACAACTTTGGGCAGAAGGACAATGATCAGCAGAGGAAGAACCATCATCATCACCTGTGAAAACAACAAACAGAAAATGTAAGAAGCCTTTTGGGATATTTGCAGTTACAGTGTTTGTTAGAAATGACCTCCAGTCTCCAAATATTTTGATATGGAATTAGATATGCACTTTTTAATGCCAGAACTTGATAAGGTCCCAGCACAAAGCACCCTCAAGTCATAGAAAGATTTTGTTTATTATTCCAAAACGCCCTGTGCTTTTGAGTTTTAAATTTCAGGAGTCAGACGGGTAGAACTTTGTAGATACACAAAGTTCTACACATTGCTGTATTTTCCAAATTTCTACTAGAGAGAAAAAGCTACAAAAAAACAAAGTATATGGTATCTAAAGTAATAATCTATGAAACCGTGGATCATTATGTTGTAATTTGGATATTTTAAATCGCAGTATTCATCTAAAACGACTGCATTCGAAAACTGCGGTGCCTAATGGGAGCTGATGTTGCCATAATCATCATCACAACAAAGAGGTGCTTAGCTGTCAGCATTTCATTTGCACCAAAGTGACTACGCGACACTTTTGAACCATACGCTTTTCACGGATCAAGGAACTACATTTGGACAATTAAGTAAGTATGCCGACGCTGAAGTTGACTGGATATGACATCTTGAATACAAGTAGGAGTAAAGATTTTGCATAAATCACGGTAAATACAACTTAAAGAGGGTAAATGAGAAGGGAAAACAACTATGACATGGTTATAAGATCCAAAAAAGTAGATTTTACAGAGTAGGTTTGCTTTTAAATAGAGACAAAGACTGTAAATGCAGCTCGTCACCATTGGGTTCATGAGGAAGTCGGTCCAGCCCCAGGTCTCCCTCTTCATGAAGTAGCTGTGAGGGCCAGACGCTCGGATCTGCAGGGGGTACGGCTGCCGGATGACTTCAGACGTCTTGATGTAGTTCACCAGACGAGCTCTGGGGAAATATACAACATGGTAACTCAGAGTTGTTTAATTATACAAACATGGATGTAGGCCTGTCACGATCGTTACTTATTGCTCAATATATGTAAGATAGAACAACATTTCTGAAGTAACATAAGATCTGAGCTGTCTGGGGTCGAAATAAATTACTTCTATATCTTATTAATTAACTTATTACCTAAACAGAACTAAATAATTACCTATTATATGTTTACAAAATGTTTTAAATGGATAATCCTGCTTCGGAGTTATTATGTCAGTGGTATAGTGTTTAGTTTCAATATTGTTGTTTGGGACAGGGTTTTATGTAGTGATATACTGAATATTTGTTATTGTGACAGGCCTACGTGGACGTCAAATAAACAAAGTAAATGTTACCTCATTTTTCCCTTGGATGTGATGTCCACACGCACTGGCTCAAACCTGAAGGAGGGGGAGATGATTTCCACAACGTAAGAGCCTGGAGGGATGTCGTTGACTGCAAAACTTCCGTCAGTTCTGGAACAGAAGAAGAAAATTGTTAGTGAACAACAATTTCTCTGCAATAGCATTTCAATAACTCCTAAGGGAAAAACCCATGGCGTATAGAGGTGGGCAGAAAATATTGAAACACTGTTCATATTTTGTACTGTGTTAATGTATAGATATGCAAAATTAAAAAATAAAAATATAATGTAAATTGTTTATAGAATAAACAATTATTATTATTAACTATTGTGAGGTGCCTAAATGTCTGCAAATCTCCAACAACACTCAACAACATCTTACAAAATGCACTTTACCAACTAAAGTTGGTCCAAAACTCTGCGGAACGACTTTTAACAGGAACCAAAAGCACATTACCCCAATTCTTATGTCTCTGAACTGGTTTCCTGTTAATTTTAGCACTGATTCTGAGAGTTTATTGTTTGTTTTTAAAGATTTGAATGGACTGGCCCCACAATACATGTAAGACCTCCTCCAAATTTACATCCCTGTGCGTGCTCTGAGGTCCGAGGGCCAGCTCCAGGTCGTGGTGCCTAAGACGACACTTAAAACCAGGAGGACAGGACTTTCTCTGTAACCAGCCCCAAACTCTGGAACACTCTGCCCCTCCACGTCCGAACAGCCCCCACAGTGGAGTGTTATAAATCTCCTGTTAAAACCCACTTTTACTCTCTGGCTTTTAACACTGTGTGAGATGTGTGGTCCTCTGTCTTTTATCTATTTTATTGGTTTTATTTATTTATTGCTATTCCGTGGTTATGCTCTTATTTTATTTTACTGGTTTTATACTTTTAAGACTAGTATGATTAAATCTGACAGGTTATTTCATCATTATGTTATTACTTGTGTTATTACTATGTATTTGTGCAGCATTTCGAAACTGTTTTATATAGCACATTTTATAAACAAAGTGGATTGGATTGAACATTGCTGGACATGGAGGCCAGGCTAAATTAGACTTTACAGTGAATGAATGGCCAAAATATAATTGCAATTTAACTCCTCTCTTGCTTTAACAGTTGGAATTAGATTATTTTATGCCATGTAAATGTAACACAGTGTTTATTATAAGAATTAAGTGTATCTTTGGGAGTATTTGACCTTGAGGGAATAGCAACAATAACCAGTGTCATCTCTGGAGGACACAGGTATGGAAACAACACGATCACAAAACATGACCTCACCGGGCCACCGTAGCTCAGGAACAAACTTTACCCCAAATTCGCAGTTTAAGCACAACACTACTGATTAATTATCTTGTTAAACTGTTAATTCGTGTGGGCAGTGTTAATCTACCATCTGTTTAGACTTTAGAGCAGCTGTTCTCTGCAGGAGCTAGCGGATTGTAAGTGGCTACGAGCTAATGCTAACCGAGCTAACGCGGCTAAAAGGGCGTCACAATTAGCTCTGGGCAGAAAATTACCTCATAAATCCGACATATTCTTCTCCTTCCACCAAAACCCGAGCGGAGGACACCCAATCTTGAGGTTTAATCCCGGGGACGATGGCTCTTCCCTCGATCTTGAAGCGATCCCCGTTGGGTTGTGCGGCTCCACCTGCGCTAGGCCCCGTATCCATGTCCGTAAAACACCACGCCGCGACGAACGCACAGTGCACTAAAAGGCATAACAGCGGTATTCTGTCTCTAAACTGCATGCTTGCTTTTTGTTAAACTATAAAACAGCTCCGAACAGGTCTAAGACAACATGGATTCGGGATGTGAGCGGGACGCGGCGGAAGAAGACACTGCAGGGCGCATCAGCTGAGTCTGCGGCGCGCGACGTCACGAGGAAAAAAACAACAACATTTTTTTTTTTTTTAAAGATGACAATAATAATAAATGTGGATTACTCTGAGATATTAATCAGTGACTATTCATTATAATTGTATGTGTAATCAAATTATAATCATGGTTTATGCACAAGTGACTTATTTTAATTGCAGTTTTAGTAACAGTAAAATTATCATCACGAAAAGAGTCGACAATTCAGACAAATAAATAAACTCCCTGTAATGTTCCACATAATCTTGTTAATCTTACCTATCTCCATGGAGACAAGCAAGTGATTATGCCGCTATGCCAAGTAGGGCTGGGTGTCATAAATTGCTGATACGATATATACCTCGATACATAGACCACGATACCATTGCATTGCACTTTCGATTCAACAGAACTTGCAAGTCATGACTTGGACTCGAGTCTGACTTGAGTCACTAGTTTTCGGATTTGAAACTTGGCTTGGTAAAATGGACTAAGACTTAAGACTCGACTTGGACTTGAAGGTCATTGTCTTTGGACTCGGACTTGAGCCCTGTCACTTGAGAAGACTTGATGCCTCTCCTTAAAAAATATATGTTTTCAGAAAATACTTTTCTCTTTACAGTTGATAAATACGGTGATTAATTTTACAGGAACAAACTGGAACATGTCCGTCCCACTTCTGTTTGTTACTTTGGATGTAACTGAAGTACTGTGATGTGGTACATCAAATGTACTACAGTAATATACAGTAATATGCAGTAAAACAGGGGGAAGTACATAGAACAAGATCCTTCCATTTCAGTGCAGATTACATGACAAAATAACTGTTATTTAGCACTTTTAAATCTAAAGTCTAAAGACCATAATGATTCACACCAAGATCTTGCCAAGTCATTTAAAAAAGAAAAATTAGCATTTCTATAACTCTTATAGAAATCTACCATGACTTTCTTTTATATTTGGTACTGTAGTTTAAAGACTTTAAATGACTTGAAGCTGAAAGCAGACAACTTGAACTTGACTTGGACTTATAGGCCAGTGACTCAAGACTCGACTTGGAACTTGACTCGGACTTGAGGTCAAAGACTTGAGACTTGCTTGAGACTTGCAAAATGACTTGGTCCCACCTAACGCTATAGAAAAATGTGACCATTTACCATTTACCATGTTCACTGAGTTTGTCCATAGATAATATGAAAATCACCCATTTTACTCAAAACAGTGAAAATGTCAACACAACTGTATCTCTTACACAAAATAATTTTGTAAAATATACCTAAATGTACTCTTGATGATATATCGATACAGCACACCGCAATATCAATACTGTATATACGATATTTCAATATTTTTGCACACCCCTAATGCCAAGTTACAGGTCAGATCTATGGAGAGCTGACTGACTATAGCTCACAGTAACAATGCACAATGTCAATGTATTTTTCCAGGAATAAAAACACTTGTAATTAGATAAAAGCAAGAGAGACATGAGTAATGTGGAACACTGCAAACATTGCATTAATCAAGCCCACTATTCTATTTGGTGTATTTATGTTGAGGGTAACTATGCTTGACTTGCAATGGCTAGACAAATATTGTGTGAGTCTATAGATAGCAGCCCTGAACCTGATTGTCTAGTGTAGAACTTGAATACATGGCAGCTATCTGTCATGCTATGGTCCACTCTATTGTTTACGTTGCACGCTGAAAGGGACTCAAAAACCATCCCTCCCATGACAACAATGGGGAAAACTAGTGCATTGTAGATCTTTGGTTTACCCCCATTTGTTCAAACCTCTTTTTAGTTACAGGTGCATGGCTGTGGATTCATAGTGTGGAGATGGAAAGTGAAAGTACAGAATATGGTCAGTATAATGATGGTGAAATGCTTTGTAACTCAGGGGGAAAATGTTACTTTGATGTAGTAGTGGTCTGGCTGCCTATTCAACATCAACTAAAGCTTGCATGTATTGTAATCTTTTGCATAGTTCAGTTCGATCTACTAAAGCAGTAGGCAATACTTGGTTACATTTACTGCGTAACTTTTAAAATAAATTGTACTGTTCTAGCCCAATAGTTTTACTTCGGCTTGAGGAGTATTTTTAATTGCAGAAGCAGTACTCTTAGTTATTGAGTTTAAGTTTTGGTTACTCTTCCCGCTGTCTACAAGTGACAAAAGTTTTATGTTGACAATATGAAATGATTTTATCGTTTGTTTCTTGCACCATGAGAAGCTATGATTTTTTTTCTTTTGTGGGTCTATCCTTTGAAAATACCAGATTTTATACATGATTTAATGTTTCATCTTTCAAATTACATCAACTACAAATTACAACTTGCATCCCAACAGTTACGCTTTAATTTACCCTCCTTAATTTTCCCAAATTCTTTTTTTTACTCTTCCTAATTTCTTGGACTATTGTTTTCCACATAATATTCCTTTGACGTAACGTTATTCTTACTAGAGTCTTCTCTACTCATCTCTGGTCTGCTAAAAATGTGTCATATTATAACTTTTAGGAAATTGGTCTCTAAATTTGACAATACCTAATTATTACACAAATATTTTCTTTTATATGGAATTTTCAATTTATTAAAAGATTAAAAGAATCACTTGTTTTTACATCTCATACATACAGTCAATTGTCATATGCACAGGCAAATAAAAAGAAGAAAAGCTCTAATAACTTAAGACTGTTTCAAGTTCCAGATTGCAAAACATTTGAGCACTAGTCCCACCACACGTGCGTTGGCCTTTCCATGGCGAGAGTGGTGCGATTGAATAATGGCACTTCATAGAGCGATACACCCAGTCTCCTTCACTAGACGGTCCACTTCAATGTGAAGCAGGTTGACTTTTTTGCTTGGTTTCAAAGCAGGAGGGCGCTCGAGGCCCCTGTGTCAGTGTCTCCAACTCCCCCTGACGGAAGGGAGTGGTCGGAATAGTCAGGTTTAGAGTTGAGTCGAAATGATCCAGTCCACTCGTCTGGTGTGTTATCGGCCCCAAACACAGCCGTGATCTGGCAGTAGTGGTCACATCCTCAGAAGTGCCCCAAGCCTGTCAGGGCAGCTGGGTGAGATAAGCCCCGATAGCCTGCAAGATAAAATGGGGCTTAGAGAGGAAGCAGTGACAAGTGAAAGACTCAAAGTGGCTAATTACAAAGTCCAAATATAGACTGCTAACAGTACCATGAACTTGAAAGTACTCATTTGCGTTGTAAAATAATTAACCAAACAGCTGGTAAAGCAAGTAAAGAAGTAGCTATTTATATGTAAATAAGCAGTTGCCTGACAAACTTGAAATTGCCTGGGACTAAAAACACATCCAAAAACCCTTCTTATGACATTGCCATAGAGAAATCACAAATCCTTCTGTTTCTATTGGAATCCTTAAAGGGCCCGTATTACACTTTCTGATTTATGTTGTAATATTGTTTAACCACAAACAGATCTGGAGTGGAGTTTTTTGTTCCACTCATATGTTTAACGCACGTAACTCATGTGTTGATACAGAAAGTGCTTCCCGGTGTTTTTAAACGCAATACACCTTAACTCAGGGTTCCCACTCTTTTTCACTGACACAATTTCTAAACTTTTCCATTACTTTTTTATGACCTAAAGTGAATTTTCCATGACTTTACAGCACCTACATGTGTAGAATTGATCAAAGTTTTAGGGCTAAATATGAAACGTTAACCCTTTCCACTCACCTTATGGTTTAGTATTATAGTTTTTTAACATTCAAAATACTGTCAGTGCATTTATTGTAGTCTCTTTTAAACAAAAGGCACATACGTTCGGAAATAATCACAATAGCCTAATGATAACTTAACAGAATGCTGTAGTTGTGTGAAAGAGACACTAAAATTACATGACTTTTCCAGGATTTCCATGACTGTGGGGAACCTGTTAACTACAATCATTTGGATGATTTCAGCCCTGGAATGGCTAATCTCTACTGAACAAAAGGTTAAAAAGTAGCTGTTAACCTAAAGACTACAACTTAAATACATCACAAAAGGTGGAACACAAAACTCAATTCCAGGTATGTTTTTTTTTTTTTACTTCTGTGCTGTCCATTAATACTCTGGTGACCACCCATAACTTAATTTTTGCCCCCATAGAACAAGCTGAACAAAAAATAGTTATTATAGTAGTCTGTAGTAAGTAACAATGTTTAGTCTGTTTTTTATCAGTAGAGGCAATAAGTGACATCTGTTCTCCAAAAACTATATTAAATAAAGTGATATGGCCCCATAGTATAAACCTGTGGGAAATACAGTAACCCACTACACCACTGCCTCTCCAACCATGAAAACAACTATGACTTCTTTCCAGTTTCTTAAAAAAACAGCACAAAAAAGATGTCGTCTTAACCTTGGCCAGATCTCCTGTAGACCCTGGGACCACACACAGTTTGGACCCCTCCTTCCATAAGTCTTTTAGCCGCTGCTTCATGACTTCAATATTCCTACAAGACACAAAACGATTCATGATTGTGTCACTTGAACAGTTCTATGTCACTTCTTGGACAGACTTGTTTCCTCACCTGTCTTCTGTACAACTGTCCTGCAGTCTTTTATCCGTCTTGGAGAGTTCAGGCCACCATTTCCTGATAATGGCCTGGACCCAAAGCAAACCCACTGATATGTGCCTAGAAGAGAACAAACGTGATTATAAACAAGCATACTGATACTCCCCTTGGTGAGTGACGCTAACTGTAGGCACTGCTCTGTCAGAAGTTTTGTTAGACTTTAATCTGATCTTTATTTTAACACAATCTGACCAGAAAAAGGTGACTTAGGCTACATTCAGACTGCAGCCTAAAGCGATCCAAATCCAATTTTTTCACCCTTATGTGACCTGTATCTAATCTTTTAATGACAGTCTGAATGACACAGATCAGATTTTTTCAAATGCGACCCAGGCCACTTGGATATGTGCTCCTAAAACGATACATATCCGATCTTTTGACATGCAACTTCAGTTAGAATGTCCAGGTCACATTCATCCGACCTACACGTCATAACAACATGGTAACAAGTACCTGTTGCGAGCCAATACAGCCCAACGTCGATGCTCACAAATGTACACAAACGTTCTTCTTGTCATACTGTGTATGAACTCCGTGTCAGTGAAACAGTGAAGCATATCTCAATTCCACCGCTCTTGGCTGGAACTCCGCACTCATGTTCCTTTCTATGGACGTTGCTGCCACTGCCCCACAAAACGCCATGGCCAAAACCTTGTCCTTCTCCTTCTCCTCCTTAAAATAAATAAGCTGTACATGTTCTGGCTCCGGTACAACAGTAACTTTAAAACTGCCAGGTGCTCAATGCTCGCGTCCATGTTTAGGCGACTTCCGTAAACACTGAGCATACTCGCTGTGTGTGACGTCGTCGTGTCCTCCAATGCGCATGTGGGACACTTTTGAGCATTTAAAGTTCACACTGGAAGATCACATACAAGTCGCATTTAATTGGAAATGTGAAGGAACTTGCAAAAAAGTCTGAACTGAGTATTAAGCCCTGCAGTCTGAACGTAGCCTTAGTTGGAGCTGATACAGTCACAAGCGATTCAGCATAAGCAAACAGTTTTTCAGATAGTTGCTCTCACTTTTTGCATTTAAAAACACTTAAACAGGACCATGAATGTTTGCACTGATCACTGGGTTGTTTAAATCCATCCTGTATTGTTTTTGAGTTTAGAATCATAAAACGGTTTTGACAGTGTTTGCCAAAGTGTACATTGTGTCTCCATGTAACTCTTGAACATTCCACCATAGAGATACACGTTAAACACCCCCAGCATGAGATCACGGCAAAGTATAACTATTTTTATACTATGTTCTGCAAGCACATCTTTATACGTTCGATTTACTGTTCTAGATGAGATTATCATCGCAGTGTGGACAAAGAAAAATGTCCCTTGGCTTTTGCTGCCATGTACATGTGACACTTACTCTTCATATTTACTGGAGAGAATCAGTTTCACTTGGGGCATGAGGTCAACACAGCAGCCCAGTGAGAAACACGGTGCTTCAGTTTGAAGGCTGGCAACACACACACAAAAAAAAAACAACAACTATGAGACAATTATGGCTAACAGAGTATGAGGAAGCAGGGAGAATGATTATACGATGTACGCTTAATCAGAAATCTTACGCTCATGCAGGTCTGATCAGGTTCAGGTCAAACTTGTAATTTACTGACAGTTTGAAAGGACTCAAATGGAAAATCAAAAGGGCTGCAATTTTATAAGTACCATAATTTCCTCCACAAGCAAAATCTCCTTATTTTGCATAAGAACTGTTACCCTGTAGTTTAGATCTGTACAAACATGTTCTGAAATGGGATTCTTTTCTTTCGTATTAGTTTGTCAGTTCCTATTCCAATATTTTTGTCAGTTTAAAATGTGAACTTTGAACATAAATCGTATAACTAGAACATAAATCACAAGACTTGCCAGAAAAGTTGCAATTACATATTTTTCCCAATTTGTTCAGCCCTAGACTGAGGTGTCACTTTACTCACTTATTTGTTAAGACAGGTAAGCAGTCGAGCAGCACTCCCGTGTCCTGGATTCTGTAAAACAACATTACATGACACACATTATTATCAGTGAAACCATCTTAACCTACTCACTAATATCACTGGATCGTGCATATGTTTGTACCTGATTAGATAGGCCACCAACTCAGTGGCGTTTCTTCGCCAAAGGCTAAGTGCTACTTTGAGCCGAAGACTTCTTCCAAATAAGACTTGACTCATTGCTTCATGGTCCTTTGACAGCTGCAGGAGGGAAAACATTTGTCAATATTTGAACACGTATCGTATACAGCCAGTGAATGTGAAAGCTAACTGAACTGATAAACCTGATAAAGATGTTTTATGTAAATTTCTTGGTAGAATGTTGTCCATGGAGATAATATTGCTTTGCCTGAAATGTTCTACAAAGGTATTAAACAAATCTATCAATTGCCACGTTTACATGAGAGCTTTAATTCTGACTAAAAATAATTTAATTCTGAATAAAAATTAATTCTTGCTTTAAAAAAAAAAGACCACATAAACACTTAATTCCTAATGAAAATTATTATTCGGAATTAAACTTAATTCCGAAGTAAGTGGGTGGTTTACTCAGATTTTAAAGATGAATTAATTTATTCCTTGATCATGTAAACGTTTATTTTTCTTAAAAATAAATCCGGTTGTTCAGCACATGCTCATTGGTTCGCCCTTCTGACGCGATCCGGACGATCCGGCTCCACCAGTCCTGGCTTCGGACTTTTATGCATTGCTCTTTAGATTTGCGAGCGGGATGCGGGAGTGGGCTGAGGTTAAGCAGCCGCTGACTCAGTTTGTCTTCTTCCTCCCTTCTCAGACACTCTTCCCTTCTCCTCCTCAGCTGACAGACATAAAGCGTGATGACAAAATTCTCAAGCTGCTGCTTAATTATCATCGGAACGACTGAGAATAAAGTGTGTATCATGTTTGTGTCCGTGGCGTAACGACAAACTGAGATGACAAAAATATCGGTAGCAGCTGAAGTGTGTGTTTTCTTCCGGTCGACGTAAATACGTTCGCGTCCCTGTCCGATCAGAACCCTTTCCGACCTCCAGATGTAAAGACAATTTAATGTGTTTTCCATGTAAACCTCAATTTGGAATTATTATTTCTATGTAAACTCGAAGGAGAATATTTTAATTCCGAACTATTTGATTCAGAACAATTAATTTGGAATGAAAAAACATCATATAAACGTGGCCAATTACAGGTACTTTTACTGATAAAAACTACATGAATTCCAACTGCAACTGGGGCACCATCTCAACAGATCTGACCTGAAACTTGGCCAGGTATCATCTCCTACTTGTGTCCATGGACATAGGTAAGTTTAATGCCACACTCATGAACATTCTAGACAAGGCAATAAAATGTCTATGGAGACAAGCTGGTGACTTCACACCACAAAAGTTACATAGTACACCTAAAGAAGATGCACTGAGAAGAGAAAATAACTTTAATACTGCATCTACAGTAACTTCTCTGAGATGACACACACCTCATTTAAGTCTGTGTACTTGGAGCTGGCACCGGCCATCTTGGAGCCGTCTGCAGTGTTCACAGGAGGCCCGCGGCTGTCATTGTAGTAGTTGGTCCGCGCGTCGTCGGAGCAGGTCAGCTCATTCTCTTTGTTGGCCATGCCGGGGTCACGGCCGCAGCCTACATGGGATGCTTTGCGGTGCAGCTTGACGCCCACCACCTCCAATGGACAGCCTTTCCTCTTGCTGGGAGGCAACTGCTTCGCTTTGCCTGGACAGGGTAGGCTGTGTACATGAAATCTGTCAAAACAAGGCCAAAAGGGGAAAAGAGTTTTAACAAGCAGCTCGAATTGTTACAGAAAAAACCCAAAACGCACTAATGAGGACTCACCCGTTCTTATCTAAATCTTCTTCATGTCTATTATTCACCTAAAACAAAAGGGATAGGGGGTTGAGGGCACTACTGGATACAACACTGCACATTCACACCATAAAAAACTACACACACACCACTGAAAATAACACAATATTTCATTTTTGACAGTTTGCACTTTTCCATTTAAAACCGGTTTATGAACAGAGCTACTTTCTTCCAACCCCCCTCCTATTGTCAACATTCTTATGGCTCTGAGTGAGTCAAACATGGAATTAACTAACCATACTCTCTCAAACTCTCAGAACACATGTTGAGACTTTATTTACCTTATACAGGAATTATTTAGATATTCAGTGTACATGAGTTGTAATGAAATAAGGGATGCATCAATCCGATATCCTGGCTGGGCAAATATATTGATGTAAAAAGAATATTTGATGGTTGTAGATGGTCCAGAAAGTCTCAAAATGTTTCGACTTTTATTTAAGCCAAGTTGTTCTGTTGTTACTTGAGATAAATAACAGCTACATAACACATTTGAATCAGATTTGTCTTGTTATTTCTGGTTTAAGGAAACAAATACTGAACAAGCTGGATCAGTGAATCCTTAAAGAAATTGAAATCAAGAGAAAATCATGGAATTTTTTTGGCACCACCCCTAAGAGAAAAGTCTAAAAGTGTTACAAGTGTTCACACCTGCTTCATGTTCTTGTGAGCAGAGGGCTGTAGGCAGGGTCGCAGAAGGCCATTGGGTTTGTTGTGGTTGATCCTGATGATGTTTTGTTTCCAGACATGCTTACCAGCTGCCATAATATGAGACACTGTGGGGAAAAAAAACAATCATCTTTAATAATTAGGACTGAAATCCCACAATTTCCTCCACAAACAACTAAATATCCTGTCTTATTCGGCACTAACTAACCCTGTAGATAAGAACTGACTCAAATGTGATTCTTATATTAATTTTGCAAGCAACATAAGTTCAGTCTTTTTAACAATTGTTGAGCACATTTAAAATATGTCTTTGTAAACTTTAAACACAATCCTTTCACAATTAGATATTTTCCAAAATCGTTCAGAAGTATCCATTAAGAGGAGACACTACAGGCAGTTTTTTAGTTTTTGGTCTATTTGCTATAGTCACTTAATATATTGAAGCTGTAGATTTTTAAGAGACATTGTAACTTCAAAGGTAATTTTCTCATTTCTTGGGACATAAAGATCACCCCTTAAAAAAAGCATCTACATACACCAAACTTTATAGTCCTGTACTTAAGACTTAGATGGATCACATACAGATGGACTGGTTAAATTCAAAGTTTTTTAACAAAAAAAAAAAAAAAAAAGTCAAATTTTAATATTCAAGCAGACCAGCAGATTTTGTTGACTCAAAACCTCATAAAGATATTCCAAATCCTTTCAGTATATTTTTTAGAAGCATATTTTCACGATATGCATCTCACGGTACGATATTTATTGTGATACTTTGGAGAGGCTAATATTATTGTAGATAGGATACTTTTTACTTTTAAAATACCTTGACAAGATTCTGGTGTGAATTATTACTGTCATAATCCTAACAATTCAAGTAAAAAACATATTTCTTCATGTTGTCTGCACTGAAATGAATCATGGAATATGTAGTTCCCAATGTTTATTGGCTATGGGTACTATAAAATAATGCATTTAAGCAAAGGAATTTATTAAAGAAATTTACTGTGATAGCCCACGATATTATTGTGAGACTTTTGTTGATATCTTCACGGTATGAACATCACGGTACGATATTTATCGTGGGAAAGCTCACAACATGGTGGAAAGGCTCACAATAAGGGATGGAACAATATCCAAATCTCTTGGTACGATCTTTTCATGATATACAGCTCATGGTACGATATTTATTGCAAAACTTAATCCAAAGAACAAAGACTTAAAAGTGCTTAGAACTGTTATTTCTTCTTGTAGTCTACATTGAAATGAAGCAAAGGATCATGGTCTATGTAGTTCCCTCTGTCTTTTTTAGTTTTTTTTTTTTAGCAATTGCTGCACCATAACTCTTAATTTAAACAAAGAGACTTGTGATTAGATATACTGTGATGGCCTACAATATTATTGTGAGAACTTTGATGATACGATATCACAGTATTTCGGTTAGTGTTACATCCCTAGTTACCATCCTAAAAATTCAAGTAAAAAACACATTTCTTCATGTTGTCTGCACTGAAATTAATCATGGGATATGTAGTTCCCAATATTTACTGGCTATTGGTACTATAAAACCATGCATTTAAGCAAATAAACTTCATTGTGACAGCCCATGATATTATTGAGAGACTTTTGATGATACGATATCACTTTCACTTACTTTTTAGTACCTAATATGACAATAAAATTAAGCAAGAAGTTTACAATTGGCTTTATCAATTTTTGAGAGTCAAATATAACCAAAATTGTCAATTTTACTTGCACATAAAATACCTAAATTTGATAAGAAAACATTACATGAATAACAATATGTAATACAGATTTTTTAAAAATATATTATTGTAAGAAAAAAAATCACGAAGTATAAGTTTTTTTCTTATTCACCTGCAGAGTTTCGCTTTATTAAACCCAGGTTAAATAATAGCTACGAGTCTGTAAACTGCATTCACGTTGTTGTAGTGAATAAATGGATGATTTTAACTGTGTAACAATCACATATAAAACTCTAAATCCGCGTTACCTTATGGCGAGAGGCGTTGGCTGCTCTAACACAAACATTTACATTAGCAGCAGGTCCGCCTATGTCACCAAAGCACACAAAATGTACTGAAAACACACTGGGATAACGCATCGACTGTTTTGCATTTAACAAATTAGTCATGCGATAGCGTCGAGTCCGAGAGCTGAAGGTATCTCACAGTAATTAGCTGTGACTGTTAGCATGTTAGCTCAAGCGTGAAAAACAACAGGGAAAGTCGCTTGTGGGCCGCTAGCTGGGAGCTAACTCGAGCTAGCCTCTTAGCATGTTGCACCTCTGAACATTTTATCACAATAAAAACGATCCGGACACTGTTAAGTCAACACAAACAAATAAAACGACCACTAACCGATTCATCTTGTAAAGGAAACTTGCAGATCTCCAGGTGTGGCGCGTCGAAAAGGTGAAAAAACTTGATGAACTCGTCCACTTCAACTTGTCAGTGTCGCTCGGTTTGGTTTGGGAGTTTTTACCATTCAAATGATAACACCGCCGGGCTTGAGGATTGTGGGATTGAATTTGGCGAAGACACGAGGAAAGAGCGACACCTGGAGGACACGTGATGGACAAACAACGGGGATAAAGTCACTATTTCAGATGTGAAACGGCGCCATCATGTGGACAGCAGTGGCAAATGCAGAAAATGAATGGACTGCCACATAAAAACTTTAGAACTTAAGTTATATTCAGTGTTGGGAAGGTTACTTTTAAAATGTATTTCTCCTACAGATCACAGATTACATACCCCAAAATGTAGTTTGTAACGGAATCCATTAAATTACTTAAAGTGAGTAATGTACAGTAATCTGAATACTTTGAATTACTTGATATTGTCATGCTTTTTAAAACTGCATGAATGTAGCAACCACATCCTGAAAATTCATGTTTGTTCTCTTCAAATTGGTTGAACCCAAGTCTCCATGAACAGACTTTTGTTTGCTGTAGAGAAGCAAAGACTAGGAAATCTTAACATGAGATGTTTTGTCTGCTAAAAGACAATTAAAAAGCCCAGTCTTTCCTTAACAGTATTAAACATTTTATTGATAGAGAAATGATTTTTATATGAGGTCACTGCTCCTTTAAATAATGTCCACCCTACTGTTAGCTGTCATATTGTTTAGTTAAAAAAAAATCAGTTTCAGTACAAAGTACAAGTACAAGTAAAAATCTGTAATATTTGATGTTTTTTACTCAAAATGATGCAGAATCAGATTATTAACAACGACGATTAGTAATGACCTTGTCCATTGTGTGACTGACACCACCAACATTAACAACAAGTTTACACAGTTCTTATTGCATGTGTTCTGTTTGGGTTTCTGACAATGAGTGGAATTACCGAGAAAAAAAAAAAAAAAAAAAGGATATAGCCCAAAATGTGAAAACAGGAAAATACCGCTGTGTAATCCATTTATTTCAACAAAGTAACTGTAATCCAATTACCACTCACTGAAACAGTAACTGTAACTGAATACAGTTACTCATAATTTGTACTATACTACTACTATACTACTATATTTGATTACGTAACTCCGGTACATGTCCGTTACTCCCCAACACTGGTTATAATAAATAATAAATATAGTAAATAATTTAAAGTAATCGTTTAGTTTATATAGTTTATACCGTTTTTATAGTTTTTATAGTTTATATAGTTTAGTTTTAGACTTAGATGTAGACTTAGACAAACTTAATTGATCCACAAGAAATTATTTGGACACAGTAGCTCAAACATCACAATAATATAATAACAAAGAGAAAGAAATATAAACGGTAAAATAAATTTAAAATAAGTAGCATAAAAGATACAAGAGACTGGTGCCAATTAAGACATAATGTGATAAATGTAAATGTACAAGTAAAAATAAAAATAGGCAGATAAGACTAGAATATAAAATAGATAAGTAATAAAAATCACAGCTTTCTAAAAGAGGTCAAAGGAAGACAGTTCAACAATAATATGATTGTTGTACAGTTGTATGGAGTATGGTATGAATGTACTTTATAGTTTATATAGTTTATGGTAAATAGCTTATAGTAAATCAAATAATAAAAACTAAAGAACTATGGCCTGTCATGATGAGGTTCTTTTTTTAGAATTGATGGTTTTCAGATTATACAATGTGATGATGAGCCAGTTTTCTGTATTGATAGGCTATAATTCACCATGAAATAACCAATAATTAGGCCTAAATGCACAAATGTTAATTTGATATATTTTATAAGACTAGACCCCATAAGATCATAACTCAATATTGCAATAAAAATCAGCATTTTAACAACATTGTGTTAAACTGTTTAAAGAATAAATCAGCATTACAGTTGTAAGCTATATTTGATTTGAACACATCTACTCAGTGATGAGAAGAATACTTGTAAAATGTATTTAGTTACAGACTACTATATACCCGAATTAAAAAGTAATGTAACGTGTTCCTTTATAGTACTGTATTGTGAACACTTAGAATAGTTTTACATTGAGATGTATTATATTATAGTGTAAAAAACATGACTTATAATGACAAACAACTTTTATTTTGTTGTACTATTTGTTATGCATTAGTTTATGTCTAATTAGAGATGAAAAATCACACATGCACACGCTGCAAGAGCTGTGTTTTTCCACTACCACCATGCAGTTCTAAGCCAAAATTTCATGATGAGGTTCCTTTTAATTTATTAAATAAAGTGTATTCTGAATAACACCAAATGAAAGAGTAACAGTACCAGAATACAGGTACTTAAATACATGACATGTACTCTGTGTCCACTTCAGATCTGGGGAGACAGACGGTTTTTGAAATTTAAAATAAAAAAAATCTTACATACAGTTCTACTTTTTAAGGTAGTTTGGTAACAGAAAAATGCTATAGTGATGTAATGGAATAAAAAGTTCCTATTGTTGCTTATATTTTAGGCTTACTTATCCCTTTTGTGAGATCATATTTAAAGCCTTTAATTGCAACATGTTTGTGGACCAGTGTTATGCAGTTGACTTGGTTTAGCCATTTCCCCTTGGTTCTCTGGCTAACTCCAAAAAAGTGACTTTAATTAAACTTTTACAGGAGTTACGGTCAACCTCATCCTCTTTACTAGTTCTTGAAATTAATAGTTTAAAGATCCTACATTGTAAGACGTGTTAAACTGGAAAAATACAGGGCTGAAATGATACAAATGATTCTAATTAAGGTGAATGGAGTTTAAAAACACAATGGAGCAGTATTACCACATGATGTCACAAGGTGGAACAGTGTTTTTAGTTTGAGAGAAGAACTAAGTATGCAGGGTTTGTGAGTTAAACATGTGTGAATGAAACAAAACACAACTCCAGGTCTGTTTTTGATGAGGAAACAACATTTTAACAGAGATCAGTAAACATGCAGCATATGGAGAATTTTATATTAGAAAATTTGACAATATTATAGTTGAAGTGTCTTCCCCAAACAAAACTAGTATTGCACAATTGCCAATGTAAGTTCCAACTGAGTATGGCCCTTAGAAATACCAGTACTTCTACTTCAGTTGTATACATATTCAGAATACTACCTTGTACTTTTTCTCTCATAGTGTCTTTTTTTTTTTTTTTCGTACACATTCAAAGGAAATAGCAGCTGACCATGGACACAAAGACGGGAATATTGAAAACACACAAAGAATTCTGACTATGCAGTGTTCAGGTTATTGTGTACTGGTACATGTTTGTGTACTACGTCTGTCCATGTGATCCTGTGTACAACATACTGTCCATTCCAGCGACAACGCACACATGCTTTCTATTAGAGGACATTAGAGACGACCAAAATACTAGGGGGCTGTCTACAATGTGAGTTCTAATGCAGAGGACAAGGCATCATGTTTGGTCAAAAATGAGTTCATGTCACTGTTTGTATTTGAAACCTCCTTTACCATGTGAACAAATATTGTGATATTGAGCTCAAAATTGACCTTTGACCGTTATTTGTCAGTTCCTGTACTCTGCTTTTGTATCTTGTCCCAAAAATAAAGTCGTGCAAAGACAAAAGGCAGTAACAGTGTATGTTTTGTTTGTGATTTAGTTAATAAATATATTTTAATTAACTTAATTAATTCATTAATCATTTCATTTGGTGCCCTTCAAGATACCCAAAGTACTTTACAGTTCATTATTCATTCACTCAACACTCAGTGGTGTTAAGCTACTACTGTAACCACAGCTGAGGCAGACTGACAGAAGCGAAGCGGCCAATCTGCGCCATCGGCCCCTCCGACCACCACCATCTCTCACACACCACTTTCACACTAGGAGGGTGGGTGTGTGGGTGAAGTGTCTTGCCTAAGGACACAATGCCAGTTTTCGCCACTGGCGCCCCCTGTGGCACCTGGAATGCCCAGTGGTCTCCCATCCAAATACTAATCAGGTCCGGCCCTGCTGAGCTTCTGAGACCTGATGGGATCAGATTTTAAAATCCAAACTCTCACCTCTTTCTTTTTGTTGCAGCATTGGCACAGGGTTTTAACACATTTAATAAATATACCTTTGTATTCAATTATACTTCAATTATATTTAATGTGAAAGTATTTCTTGTATATAATTCATACTGTACACACTATACTGCAAAGCGACTTGTCTGTAACTGTTTAACTGTGTAAGTGTCGCCGCATGATCCTGATCAGCACTAAACAGGAAATCCAAAAATCTTCTTTATCACTTTCAAACAAACTGATGATGAGAACTTGGTGAGGTGTTTTTCTTATAATGGATGAAAGTCTGGGGAAAATCAAGCAAATCATGATCATGTCAATTTCTGTCTTTTGCCTTTGGACGACTCCTTATTTTTGTCTCATGATAAAAAGACAGAAAACAGGACCTGACAAATAAGGGCCAAAGGTCAATTCTGAGCTCCATGTTTCTCACACCCAAACATTTCTTCATTATAACAATTAGAAGTCAAATTTTGGGAGCCCTACATATTATACTTTTGTCTGGACAAAACAGAAACCTTGAAGTCATTTTTCTCAGTTTCACACTCTGGAGAGTTAAAAGTCTTTTGCCTGTTGTGGGGTAGAGGGGTCTATAAAACACTATTGGAGATTTGCAGCTTTTTAAAGACAGGGTATTCCAGTCGCTAACACATATAACACATCACTAGATCACTATGTTGCCTTTATTGTTTTGAAAATGTTATATTCACTCACTGGGAAAAAACAACAACAAAAAAAACAAAACAACAACAATATCTAGGTAAGTTAAAATGACTTAAATTAAGAACAATTTACTTTATTTGAGTCGATTAAACTTGACAAGTAAAATTATCTATCAATGGAATATGTGTTTCTCTTAATTCAAGCAACATTCGATTTAGTTTCTTATTTTAAGTGTAAATAGATGTTGTTTTTCTTATTGTAAGTGTAGAAGTATTTTCATATTGCAACTAGAAAAAGTCTTATTCCACTGGCAGATAATTTTACTTGTCAAGTGAAAATTACTCAAATCAGGATAAAACTTTCTTAATTCAAGTCACCTTA